GGGGGTACCTTTCTCCTTTCTCTCCTTTCTCCTGCCCCCTTTCTCCTTTCTCCCGCCCCTTTTCTCCTTTCTCCCACCCCCTTCTCTTGTCTCTCGACCTCAAACATGAAAAACTAATGTATAGAAATCTCGTTTTAATAAAAATCGATCAAATTTGTTGCTTTTTTTGATAGCTAGTCCCTGTCTTGTCCTTTCACAAGATAGAAGTGTTGTTTCTTCTGCTTCAAGAACCTCAATATTATTTTCACTGACTGTTAAGCTGGCTGTTTGCATTGAATTTGCAACTGAGTTTGATGCACGCCGTTTCCCGATGATTTTTTTTAAAAGTAGAAATCCAAATGCTGCTAAATAAGAAGAAAAAAATATCTGTTATTGGACTGTTTAGAAGAAATTCGATATGATTTCGGAAGTATACCTCATGAGGAGAGGCCTACGTATACATGACCATAACCGAAAAACCTCGTTTAGTATAAGAAACACAGACCAGATCTGGATTTCTATTCTAAAAATACACACACACAATAATTATACTACAAGCATGGAAATGTGAATGTCTTAAAAAATATGAAAATAAATTCTGAAAAATGTATTCCACAACAAGAAATATGTATCATATGCTGAGTATACCAGCTCCAAATTATTCAAAATATATGCACATAGCATACCTGCCAACCCTCCCGTTATCAGCGGGAGACTCCCGCTCAAATGGCGAAATTCGGGAAATCTCCCGCTTGCCGGTACCCTCCCGCGCGGGAGTATAGAATCTCCCACTTTGGGATATTTTAACCTTGAATGACAAGTCAACATTAATTACGTTTTTGTCTCACTGATGAGGGTTGTTTTTACCTGTAAATCATTGACCATGTGAAATTAAATGGCTTCACTTGACAGCTTGGGTGTCAAACATAGTACTAAATTAACGATCATTAACGACTTTTGCTTCAAGCAAAACACTTAATAGAAATTTCGGGTTACTTCCCCTGTTTAATCCTGTTTTAAGTTACCCTTCTTAAAATAATGTGAATTGATAAAACAATATAAACTAAATACAAATTAAACAAAGAATCATAAAAGGATGGCAATTGAAAGATTTTGTATGCCTTAAGACAAAAAAAAATAATTATATTTTAAAAATCACGTACATGTAAAAGATCTATACTTCTATTCAATGTTTATATTGAAATTTTTAAGATATGTATTGAACCAAATTTAGTGAAATAGATATGAGCACACACAAAATGCACCTGTGACAACATGATTGCTCACTTATAACTGAAGTATCTGGAGTGAAAGTTGTCCGGAAGGGATTCAAATGTCAAAGTTGATGAAATACGAAAGAAATAAGCAACAAACCTTCTGTAGGATATAACCATATTTAAAGAAACAAAGTATATTTATTAACTCTTATATGTGTTTCGTAGATTTATAAATAAAAGTCATATATTTCACTTGAAAATGTCGTTCGCGCAAAATCTCCCCCTCAGCTGTCATAGTTGAGAGGGAGATCTCCCTCTTTGAAGGTTTCAGAGGTTGGCAGGTATGACATAGAAAATGGAATTAATTACGAAGGATTATAATAAGATATACTGGATTGGTCCTGGACCTGATTGATTTTAATACAGGTTCAAGTTAATTTAAGCTTCGGTGTACAGGAATGGTTGTATTTTTGTTTGTTTGAGCTGGACATGCTGTACAGGTACAGATGATGAAAAATGCACCATCTCATAAAACGGTGAGTCAAAACGATTCACAAATGATTAACAAAGGTGTCTTTTTGGGGAGGGACACATTGCTGACATGACTCCATGAGCGTCGGAAAAAGTAAGAGGGTATTTACGATCTTTAAAAGAGATTTTATAACAAGTACATATACAAGTATGTATGTTAAATAAAAGTGTTGTAAAGGGAGATATGGGAGATTCAATAAGACTGCAACTGGCCAATTAACGACACACAAAAACCAAAGACATCTAGATAACACAGGACAAATGCAGGATGGACGAGAATTTTTATACTGCTAATTTGTAGATTTAGAAAAGATAATTTGGTCCCTTGAATTTGAAAGTTAATAAGTATATTTACTAAAGCAAGTATAAAATCTATCAAATGATATCATCACACGTTCACAACATTAGTTATTTTAATTATAATACAAACATATGTCAATCTCGTAAGGTACAAATTTGTTAGTCTTTGAACAACTCGTATTTCAGAAGAAAACTCAAACCATTATGAAATAAGGAGATGTAGTGCCTATGAGACATCTTTCTATCAAAGACAATATAATGTTTTGTCACAAATTGCCTTATAAAATAGACCATCACCAGATACGCTTAATATATATTTTGGTCCCGGCAGCATACTGTTTTACCCGTGTCCGTATGACCGCCCGTCCCTAACTTGGTATATATAACTGAGGTTTTATTCAGTTTATTTCTTATTGCAAAGTTTTTAAGATTCAATTTTAAATTATGTACCAGGTGTTAGTATATATACCAAAAGTGCACATATTGTCAGGATTTTTGTTTGTTTTAAATGTCAGGTTGCTTAATTTGGCATTTTGATAATATATAAATGCAGGCAGAATACATAGCCCTGCCTACTCCTTCTACGACTACATGTTACAATTTCAAGCTTGAACTTTTATATTGCGCCGAGTGTTTTACTTATATAGAGAGTGCATATATATTCTCAGGATTTTATATTGTACAATTTTTCACGAATGACAGAATGTTGAACTTTGTCTTTTCAAGTGAAATTTTGAATACAATTTGTAAGGTGCCTTTATATATTATCCAAAATGTTAAAATGAGCAAACTCATTAAAAAAAATCACACGTTTACACTATACAGTATACTTGATTAAGAATATGTATTTCATCAAGATATTGTTTGTATCTATCATTTTTACAACTAACAGAATGTTTAACCTTTTTTGATGGTTGCATTAAATGTGTCTTTTAAACACAACTATTTCTAATTGTATTGAATCGTCCTAAACATGCATGAAATATTTGACACACGGAAGTTGCGGTGGCATCACCCTTGTCTAATTGGGCTAGTAGGGTTAAGTTGAAGATTTGAATTTCTTTATAAGCTAATTATGCACCCGGTAAGGACTAAATGTAAGTAACCGGACAGGGGAAATGAAAACAAAATAACAAACACCATTCAGATCCCTTTACATATGTTCATACCTCTCCGTAAAAATAACGTTATTTGATATGCAGAAGCGTCACCCCTTTTCTGTCAAATTCTTTGCATATCGATCAACTTTGACGCAATTTATCTAAAAAACAGGGATAGTAACATGTTTGTTTCTATAAATGCACGGATTCAGAATACAATCATTGATATTCTGTTAGATTTTAGTCTTTCTCCGTATATAAGAGATCGTAATGATTGAATAAGTGACGACGCTTGGCGTATTTATGAGGTCGTTTTCATTAAGCCTACTTTGACATTTATTAGCACTTTCTTCAAACTTTGTATTATCTAATTTAATAAAATAATCAATTTCCGACTCACTTTTATTATTTTTTATAAACATTTTTGTCTCCCTTATCTACCCCTTTTCTCATTTCTCCCGCCCCCTCTCTCCTTTCTCCCGCCCCTCCTCTCCTTTCTCCCACCCCTTCTCTCCCCGTCTCCCTTTACCCTGTCCGCCCCCTCATACAAGTTTAACAAGACACATTTTTTAAAGAAGTCTATTTTAAGCTATACTTAATTTATTAAGCGAAACTTACTTCTTATCTAATAATACATTTTGGCATATCTTTGTCAATAATATATAGATATATGTATATGTTGGAAATAAAATGAAGGCAGGTACATTTCTTTCCACAAAGACAATAAATAGCTTTCTAAAGGAAAATATTCAATTATTTATTTTAAACAGTGGTCATACCGTTTTGTTAATTCAATGTTAAACATGTTAAATATGATTACTATATAGCTAGCGCATGTGCAGATAATGCCACTCAACCTATAGCTTTAATTGGTTGCTTATTCTGCAGAAATGAACAGGAAGAAGATATGCTCGTTTCATCAAAAAAACACACAAACTTGTGCTTCATTTTTTCAGGAGCCTGTATTTAATCAGTGGTTGTCATTTGGTTTTTGTTTATTGTTTTGTTCATAAATTAGGCCGTTAATATTCTCGTTTGAACGGTTTACATTTGTAGTTTTGGGGCGTTTTGTAGCTTGCTATGCGTTATGGGTTTTGCTCATTGTTGATCTGCTATGTCATTTTATCTCTGGTAGATAGTTGTCTCATTGGCAATCACACCACATATTTTAATTTCTATATTCAGAATTCTCCCTAAAATGATATTTATAATTATATTTATTATTTGCATTTTATATGACAATTACAATGAAACATTCAAAACAGTCAGTAAACATTTTCCTTGAAAAACAAATCCATTGAAAATGAAACACATATTTCATTAGTATCAAATTTTGTCTCATTTTAAATACTACTGTTTTATAAGATATTATTTGTACTACGTTTCTATACATTATGCTCCCTATTTCCCTTAGAATGTTTATAATGCTTCTCATAAACATGTATGATACAAATTCACTCATTACATAGATTTTAAAAACTTATTTTATATTGCCCGAAAAACATGAACAAGGTTCCCCAGATTTGAAGGTAAGCAGTTGTCCTTGTCTGAAATCAATTGATAGGGCTCACTTTTTCTTTTCACTTCTTTCGTGATATATTTGTGTTGTTCTTCTTTGATTTTTTGTGTTTCTACAATATTGGATAGGTTCTTCATGTTTTGTAATAGCGAACTGAACTAATCAATCTAACTTTAAATCGAAATGCTTATAAATGAATGACGTTAAAACGTTTTGTATTATACATTATCATAGCTTCGTGTTATTTCTTCAATGTGATTTAAACTCAGTTTAGTACTTAATCTGTTAGGTATTTTGTGCCACAGTGACAAAATAGGGACAACAAATACATATCAGCTTAAATGTAACACTTACCTGCTAAACTAGGGTCAAACTGCTTTTGTTCCTGTAAAATAAAAAAGGATAAATTCTTGAGTTTGAGACGAGAGTGTTCACCCTGAAATGTCATTTCTGCTATAACGTTGATAGCCCTAAATATAAAGTTTTTCTACAAGTATCACATAAACTTTACATGAACCAAGAAAATGAGGTCAAGGTCAGAAAAACCAAGCCAGAATTACATGTTCACCTTTGAATCCTTCAATACACCAAATATAGATGACCTTTTGCTTATGGTATACAAGAAATAGACCAAACCATGAAAACTTGATATTAAACAATGAACAATGAAAATGAGGTCAAGTCAGATGATATCTGCCAGATAGACATATACGCCTTACAATCATTCCATACATCAAATATAGTTGACCTATTGCTTGTAGTTTAAAAAAAAAAGATCAAAACACAAAGACATAACATGAGCAATGAACCTTGAAAAAATGAGGTAATGGTAAAATAAAACCTGCAAAGACTGACCTGAACATGGTAAAATATTTCCATACACCAAATATAGCTGACCTATTGCTTGAAGTTTAGGAAAAACAGAACAAAACACAAAAACTTTACATTGCGCAATGATCCTTGAAAATGAGGTTGAGGTCAAGTATATGAGATAAGGACTTGACCACGAAAACATTACCTTGTTCCCTGATCCATGAAATGAGGTTGAGGTCAAGTAAAAACTGTCTGACAGTCACATGGACCTTACAAGGTATGCACATATCAAATATAGTTATCTTATGACACATAATAAGAGAGAATTTAACATTATAAAAAATATAGAAGGTCCAACGTTGGTTCACTTGTGTTTAAATTTTTTAAATTATAAAAAATAGTAATGTCTTTTTCAAGTATATCGTAGTCAGTGAACCATGAAAATTAGGTCAAGGACAATAGACATAGGACAGACTGAACTTCATATCAAAAGGCGTTTATATAAACAGTATGAAGAATCCACGTCTTCTATCTTCTGAAATATTAAGCTTTTAAGTAGTACGTTAATGCCTCCACCAGTTCAATATCCTTATGTATCGCTTTCTGCCACAGAAGTCGCAGCCTCCACAAAAAAAATAGTCAATGCATAGCAAACACCATATGATTGAAGTGTGTGTGGATATTTGATTGATAACTTATTCATAATTCAATATTTTTTGTAAACAGATGAAAATTTTGTTTTTCTCTGCTTAATATTATTGCAAAGGTTTTGAAAATTTTTGTTTGCACTTTTATTCCTTTAGAAGGTTAATGATCAAAAGCAAACCACTGTATTTCATATAAAAAAGAAGATGTAGTATGATTGCCAATGAGACAACTCTCCACAAGAGACCAAAATGACACAGAATTTAACAACTATAGGTCACCGTACGGCCTTCAACAATGAGCAAAGTCCATACCGCACAGTCAGCTATAAAAGGCCTCGAAATGACAATTTAAAACAATTCAAACGAGAAAACTAACGGCCTAATTTATGTACTAAAAATGAACGAAAAACAAATATGTAACACATAAACAAACGACAACCACTGAATTACAGGCTCCTGACTAGGGACAGGCACATACATACAGAATGTGGCGGGGTTAAACATGTTAGCGGGATCCCAATCCTCCCCCTAACCTGGGACAGTGGTGTAACAGTACAACATAAGAACAAACTATAAAAATCAGTTGAAAGAGGCTTAACTCATCAGATGGATAAAAATACAAATATACAAATACAAGTGGACGTGGCTGGGTACTTGTACATCCAAACAACAAAAAGACACTAAGTACAGATCTGAGAGTACTCACAGTTACTGACAGCTAGTTCAAAGCCACTAACAACTTATAAAAAAAAATCATGCATCTAAGACTAAATTATCAATCGGTACACATCCAACATCCAATGGATTTAGTGTAAAGACGTCATAAACAGTCAGAGAAAAACATGACCTTGTGCAATGCCAAGATACAGGTATCGACAGATTGTAGATCCATGAATGTGTATATGTATATAACAATAATATTTTGTTTGCTTTTAATTTACTGATAACAAAATCAATATTAGTACCAATAAAAACAATATTTAATGATCTAATTACAGTGTTGAATTGGTAACCTTTTACAATAAGTTTATTTAAAGGATCGATAAGTTTACCAGGATCTTTTCTAAATTTCCGGGCACGGTAAACAATATTGCCGTAAAAATGAGGATGTGCAATCCCATTTGAAATAAGTTTTCTACAGGTACAACCAAACTTCAAAACCAAATCTCTATATCTGTGGAAGAATGTAGTAAAAGTACATCAAAGCACACATATAGATACACCAATTATAGCACGAATGTGGGTTAAGAAATTGATATAAACTAAGGAGATGTGGTATGATTTTCAGATCTTATCAAAGAAATCATGCTATAATTTGAAACACAACTTTCCATATAAGTTCAAATGACTCCTACATGACAAAACTAAATTTGAAATATACAATGTTATCTTTGAAATCAAAAGTTGGAAAAAGTATTGTTTGTCTTTACATTGCCTAATAAAACAAAACATAAATTACAATATATGTCATAAATTTAAAGGCTCTATGTGTGACAAAACATTGCAATTACTTGATCCTATCAAAATTCATTAATCTTGTATTAATTTGCAAACAAATAATTTCTTCATAGTTTAAGGGATGATCCTAACTTGAAATAACACAAATCGCTCTAACCCCCTCCCCCCCAAGACTGTTCCAAAGCCATCACAATTTTCATTTAGAAACCTTATAGTCGTTAAATCCGCTCGATATTCAAGGTGTTATTGTAGCAAATACAAAAAAAATATTAAAAAAACAAACAAACAAGAGGTACATCTGTACCTGCCTCGCTCACCTGATAAAGCAATCGCCATTTTGCTGATTAGCACTTTTATATGCACTAACTATATTTACTCTTTGTGTTACTAAAATTTTTATCAACTTACATGTTGAACTTAGCTTCTTTAGTTTTTTTTTATGATAGCAAAAACTATAACACACAGTAAAAATAATAATTTCAGCATGTTCAGGAGCAATAACTCTAAATTGGGCTGTCAAATTAAAATGTTTTGAAACCAAAGCAATGAATGGTATGAATAAAACATTTTGAAACAGATATTTCAACTCTTTTATATGCCATGGTATTTGAAACCCACTACCATGAAATTGACCTTCTACCCCCATTTATTGCAGATTTTTAAATAATCATAGCTATTTGAAATTTCTGTGCTCATTGCTGAAGGTCGTACGATGACTCCTAGTTGTTAATTTCTGTGTCATTTGGTCTCTTGTGGAGAGTTGTCTCATTGGCAATCATACCACATCTTCTTTTTATATATTCTATATTGCAAAAGCGCTCTTATAAGAGTTTGGTATAAAACATGTTGGAAAATGTTTAAATACTTTAAGTTAGCAGTGATATTTTGGACCCTCTTTTCCCTAACCATTGAAAATAGAATAAGACCCAGAGTTTGAAATCACCATAGTTATTCAAACTAATATTTTACTCAGCCATGGTTTTCATCCTTCCTCTCAATACTTAAGATTTTCTTATCCTCATTTCTATACAGACTATTTTATACAGTGATACAATTCCAATATGTATAAGGTATCAATAAAACATGTTGGAAAATTATGATTTTAATTCAGCCATGGTATTTTGACCCCTTTATCATGGAACATTGAATCCCCACAAGACCTTTTATATTCAAATAGTCAAGCTATCTAAACTTCCTAATATAGTTAAAATGCTTCAATAAGTATTTGGTATGAATGAACCATGGAAAAGATCTTTTGAAATTTTAACTTTGCCATGGAAGAAAGTATAACAAAACCCACAAAGGGGAAGTCCATTAAAACTGACAAAATCAAATAAAGGCAATAATACTATATTACAGTGCTGTTCAATATTTATTAATCAATTAAGCGAAAATAAATCTGGCTCAAAAACCAAAACCCAGGGAAACACATCAACTATAAGAGGAAAACAACGGAACAACAGGAACACAGAACTGCAACAAAAACAAACGCCAACATACACAGAAACGGACTAATTCTGCACTACTAATCAACGGAACAAGTATAAAAAAAATGTCATATTGACCTCTAGATAAAAGCTATTCAAACTACTGTGTATTGTTAATAGCTTTAGAAATTTAGTATGCATATATGAATTGAATAGAATCAACATATAGACTAATCATAGCTACATGTATTCAAAAAATTATTAGTAAATTAGGAATTGTGTTTCAATCAATATTTGGTATGAATGAATCATTTCGTAAAAAATATTTTTAGATTTGAAAATTTGCTAAACAAAGACCTTGATACTTGATAGATTTAGAGGTAAATCAATTCAAACATTTAAAACATCTTTCCAAACATGATTTGTTCTTTCTAAATACTTATTAGAACTTTCTTACATTAAACGATAGGTAAGAACGAACGTAAAGGGAGCATGTATTACATTCCTAAGATAACACCGAGAGTCTATGTATTTATCCGATTACAACCTTTTTTCCGAATCAAAGGTATTTTTCAAAATTTAAGCATATCGAAAAATAAAGTGCGCATTTAATAAAGAAATTAAAAATAAAGAAAAACAGTTAAAAATACTCTTACATCCAATACCTTGCTTATATTAACCATGATTACCCACATTTGCGCAGGAATTGTTCATGCATACTTTTTAAATATTTAAACCATTTAAAACATTTTAATGAACGTCTTGAAGTATGATAACGACACAATTCTTAATAATTTTTATATATTAATGACTATGTCATCATCAAATTGTCACATGGATCATCAAGATTTGCCAGACAAGCTTTGAAGGATGCAACAGTGTATGGAAAAAATCGAAACAAAAACAAAAATAATGAGACAGAAAAAAAAAAAAGATTTTGTGAGAAGTTCTTACCATTGATCTAAAGGTCAAATATAAACAAAAACCAGCAAACATGTGAAATCCTGTGTCAATTTCAGCGGACAGTTAACACACACACACAACCTAACAAACAGTTTTGATTACATATATCAATTTAATAAGAGTTCAATATGAACGTAAGGGTCGACTATTTGATTTGATTTTTATTTGGGGAGGGGGGGGGGGGGGGGGGGCAAGAAGAGGACTTTGTGAAAGACAGAATGATATGAATATTCTGCAACATGACATGCCTGATAGTTGAGAATGCAAATGTGTACAAAAGTGAAAAAATATGCATGCATAGCAACAGATTAACATAAATCAATAATTTGGAAAACATCCTCAAGAAAAAACTTGTCAAGACCTTTTATATCCGACTATACGGTATGGGTTTTTCTCATTGTTGAAGGCCGTACGGGTACCTATAAATATTTACATCCACATCATTTGAACTTTAGTGGATAGTTGTCTTATTGGCAGCCATACAACGTCTCTATAATTTTACATTTGCAAAAAACGCAAATACACGATGAAAGAACGATTTAATAGGGACGCTTGAAAACTCGGGTGTATTACTCAGATTGAGGTGGGGAATTTCTTTGAATGTTATCACACGACACCCATAAAATTTTTGGGTCAATTTTACTTGTTTGGGGGTTGCAAATAATAACAATTTAAGAAGTATTGTTTACGGTATTTTTTAGGAGTGGGAGGGCAATATATACGCAATGGTAAAATCTAAGGTTAATAATGCAAAGATATATTTTTTGGGTTGCTGAAACTACAAGGTTAAAACTAAATGACAGTTTTGTCAATGTTCACCTCTCAAGGTCAAATAAAACCAAAAAATAGACCGAAACGAAATTCTTCAGCAGGGTTAAGCTCACAACCAACCACACACCTGTATCCTTCCAATCAAACATTCCAATACTACCAGCCCCAAAATATCAATACATTGTTTTACAGACTAGAATCAGTTACATTACGAAGAATCAACTTATTGGCATATAATTTGTAGATCATCATACTAAAATTCAAATACATAATAAAACTATTGGTTTCGAAAAACAAAATACAATCAAACAAAAATAATCATAACACATTAGTTATCTCCTTTGTTACAAAAATTCATATGTGTGATAAAATCCAAAAAGCAAATCACTCTTCAATGACTGATACATTTACTAGGAAAGTTAAACAATTAAAAATATGTGTTCTTAAAACAACAACGCTCTGCTGGTATTATCACGTTTATGTGTTTATTGAAATGTGAAATATTGATCAAAAACCTAGTTTGGCAAATATATTTTCAAAAGGTCACATCACAATCAACATGTATGATATGTTTAAAGTTTATATTATACATGTTGAGGGTGAACTTCCTTTACCATAAACGGTGATATGATATGTATGTTCAGGTTACAATATTCAGTGAACCGAAAATGTTGGTACAAACCCTAATTTGGCATATCTTTGAAAAAAAAATGTTTCATAATTGACATATGTGCTTTTCATAATAACGGGACTCTTTTTAATGGTAAAGGACAGAGAAAGGTTAACTTGCTCATTGATGAAGGCTGCACTTTGAACTACAGTAATTAACTACAACGTCATTTAGTCTCTGTTGGAGAGTTGTATCATTGGCAATGCAATCATACCGCATAATTTGGAGTCATCTACGAAAGCAAACGATCCCTGATTTTCTGACCTTTTGGAGTTATTGATACCAAATAATCTTATCAAAAAAAGTATATGTTTATGTACTTCTTAGGGTTTTTGTTGTTGTTGAAAATGCTAGCATATTAAGGTATCAAAAAATGGATATGTCTATGTACTTCTAAGTTTTTTTTTCCTTGTAAATGCTAGCACCTGAACGTACCATAACAAGGTATGAGTGCAGGTTTTTTATGATATTTTTACTAGTAGCAACGAAATGACCCTATGATATAAAGTGGTGAGCTTAAGTATTTCTTAGACATTAGTATGTGTAAGCCGTAACACAAACTTATCATCAGCAGTGGAAAGTATCTATTTTTCTGAAAAGATAAATTATTAATCTTCTACATACATGTCACAGTTTTATATACTAACATTTACCTCATAGTTTGGCCCCACATTATACGTTTTAATCACAAAAACAAGTCCTGCAGATGCCTTACCAACATGTAGTAGGTAGATTATTGGCTTCACCATGCTGGTGTTTTTTGCAATTTTCCATTTTCTGAGGAGATTCCTTGGATATTTATACAAAGTTTCTCTAATTTAACAAATGTTAAGACTCTCCTAAATACGGGTCACAAGTTTATCTACTTACCAAATTTTCTTTATACTTTTGCTCCACACCATACGTTTTCATCACAAAAGCTAGTCCTTCAGATGCTTTAACTTTTTTCAAAGCTACCATAAGTCGGTAGATAGTTGGCTTCACCTTGCCAGATTTCCATTTTATGAGAAGATTATGTATTTGACCATACAAAGTCCTTGGATTGTTGACTATTGTCTCCTTAATGCTATTGATGCTAAGACCCAATTCAATGCCTAAGTGAACAATGCAATCACCTATCAACTTCTTTTCTGTCAAACTACTGATTACATCATTTGAGGGAACATCTTGTAGGCTGATGTTAGCTATTTCTGTAAAAAAAAACAAAAAGAATTATTGGAATGACACATTGAAACATGATATTACAAAAAACCTTTATCCTCATTTTTAAGTAGTAAAATCAAAATGAATTAAAAACCAAGGTTTACTCAATCCTCAACTTTCATATCCTGTACTGAAATGCACATACATGTGTACCTTAATAAAATGAATCATGTTGTTTGTCTGTTTTTGAAGAAATGGTATAAATATACAATATATGTACATTGTCGGAAAATATAAAATTTATTTGTACGAGCTTTAGAAACAGGACGAAAAGCGAGGCTCGACGAGCTTTTCTCCTGTTTCGTAGCGAGTACAAATAAATTTTATATTTTCCAAAAATGTACATATATTGTTGTTTTTATCCTGAAATTTACACCCAACACTTGAAACTTTAGTTGTTAAAATCTAAATCATTGCCTCTAATTTTTCAAAAAATCAACATAGTTTAAATGCGGACTGCGAAGAGGACCCCAAAATGAACTGGTACGCAAAAAGAAATATCCACATTACCGCTTGCTCAACATGGAAGCGGGGGTAACAGGAGACTTAATTTGTACAAGTACAAATAAAGCAAAAATTTATTTGTGTACCTGTTATTTGTACAATAGTTAGCTGATTGCAGGATAAAGTAAGATATGAATCAAATAATGAAGATATGAGTATATGTCAATGAATCAGCCACTTAACAATAAAAGTACACCTACTTGCTAACGTTTGATCCTCTCTGTGTACCTGAAATATGCCAAAGGTAAACGAATGCATCAAATGAATTGAAGTCTTATATAGTATCAAAGAGCAAATATAAAACTAGAAAAAAAAAAGATACATTTTCTATAAAATGTGTACCGTAGATTGTAATGTTATAACGAGACGTTAAATGGTTAAATTGCTTAAATACAATGTGATGTGTTTTAATAATACAATAATTATATGCTGGCCATTTGGAATTTATTTTGGTTAACATTACTTTGCACAATGTTAAGATACCATCTACTTTATCATAGAATTTTATTGGCGATAGATGTATTTAGTTGTCACAAAAGAAATTATAATAACATTGTAAGAAAAATTTGTCAGAGAAAAAAAAAAATAATAAGTTTATTTATCCAACCTGACAAAGATAGTGCTGTCTTTCAATAGCCTCCAGAGCCGTCTGCAATTTCCTAAATGTTGCAGTCATTTCGTCACTTTCTGTTTTATCCCTCCATTCAAAGAGCCCCATCAACATAAAATCCATAGGATTTGAAAAATAACGAAAATTTAAGTTGTCAAGATCAGTTTTTTCCATTCCAAGTTTAATGAAGAAGTTGTAGAAGTCTCCAATACCTATTGTTCTTGCTAGTTGCACGAAATGATGATTATCTGGTTTCAAGTCTAGTGTTTCTGTTTCAGGACCTGGAAGGGTAAATTAGTTGTTAAACTTAATGAGGGTATAAATTTCATCATAATCATCACATTATTTATGTCTTTTTTTTCTTTTTTTTGTTACTTTAATTAAATGTTTAGTTTTTGCTGAAAATTTCTCTCTTTTTCAAAATTTGTTTCATCAGTAGTGCTTTGATTTAAATATTTTCAAACCCACAAAAATAAAAAATTGAATAAAAACAAAAAAATCCATAACACCAAAATAAAAAAACAACATTGTTATGCCTGTGCATCAAATGCATAACAACTGTTACATAATTCATTAACTTCAATTATTTATAAAACAACAGTTTTTCAATACTATGAACCACACAAATTATATCTTATACCTTGCTTGACCATTCATATTCGGAATACTGAGTGAAATTGATTCATAGATCCTATTTGAAAAAGTTACATCACATGGCAATTCGGTAATTTGGTCAAGCCTTCAGTAATATTCTTGAATGGTAATATTTTGCTGGGTATAATGTTTTTTTCTAATTCAGAACTGATTTGTTTTCAAACTTTGTAACTGCCCTAGTCGATGCACCCTGAAGAACATGTATAGCATTACTTTCCCTGTAAGCATTCATTTGCCTTAAGTAGTAAGATATGAAAAACTCAGTCATGTAAAGTATGAATTGCCTCATTTATTTGAGACAAGTTGCAGGTGAAAAAACTCTTACAAATGAAAACAACCCTTTATAAATTTCATGCGTTTAAAGCGCTTTTCTGGATTTACGTTAATCAGGAACGCTCAATGCTGAATATTTGAAATCCACTATAAATGCATGTAATTTTATTACCTTTACAATTTGAGTCACAATGCTTCTTATTCTGAAAATAAACAAATACAAATGATCAGCTTTTAGTTTGCCTTCATCCTGTTTATGATAAATATTTACTCAATCTTTAGATTTCAAAAGTTGTGTGTTTTTTTTTCCATCGCTGTGTTGTCTGTCCACTTTGTACACTGACTAACAATTATTGATGGGTATCTCCTGTCGCATTAGCTTTTGTCATTTTTTTTTCATTTTGTGATTGTTTGTAGACTGCCAAACTTGAAAATTGTCACAAGTTTTACAAATATCATTTTTATCATCTAGCTAGTTATATTAAACAACCTTTTTGTGACGAGCTGTAATGCTTCAATCTAATAAAGAAGCTTTTCTAAAGCAGTCACTTTTGATTTGATGATGACTACTGTCAATTACATGATTTACGGTTGGAGTCATTGGAAAAACAGTTAGCAAATGCAGTTGTACGAATATGTAAGCGTACTTTCATTCCGCCGTGTATTTATTCCGGGTAACTGTTTTTTCACTAGAGAATATTGGATGTAAATAGTGTGAAAGTGTCGAACTTGATATTGTTGTTTTGTTTATATTAGACCAGTTTATTGTTTACATAAATAAATGGGTTAAAATTAAAATGACTTTCAAGGAACAAGTTTAATTAATCTGAGTCAATCTAGTAAATAATATTGATGATAATGAGGAGGATGTTTTTATAACTCAAAATACTGTATCAATGATCAGGACATTGAACTTGATATAAAGCAGATTTAAAGAGCAGATTTGTTCTTACATAAAGTTTCAATTATAGAAGCATCCTTTGATATTGACATAGAAGATATGATTTAATATCCAAGTCAACCGAAAAGCAAATACATAGAAAAACTTCGGCAATCCAATAAATATAAATATTACAATTTAAAAGCATATGATTTTATAGATTTGCATAGAAAAATTATTTAAATCTTATTCTTTAATAAGCATTATTGTGTTATCATGTGTTCAAAATGAGTACTAATCACTTCATCAATGTATGGATCTAAAGCACTATTGTAATTCATCCCGGTCATGCCGGTATAAAATAACTAGTGCAATCATTCCGGTACAAAATCACTAGTGTAATCATTTCTTGTTTAAAAACACTAGTGTGAACATTCCTTGGATGAAAACTCTCCACTTTTTACATAAATCAACTATGCAAGTTTCAAATACACTAAAAACTATAAAGCCTCATTTTATACATGTTTGCCCTTCAAAAAACCCTTTTTAGAACCTTATAATGACTGGTGGATGTTTTACACTGGACCCGGATAGAAAAACCTAGTGAATTTTTGTTGGTGGATAAAAATCCCTGGGGATTTTCTTCCTCCGGATAAAGTACACTGGCTGAATCAAACCACTGTTACAAATACTGTACTGTAGATGATCAAGAGTTTTTAGTCAACTTTTGATTTTATGGTAGTTCTTTCTATAAAATACTATAATTTCTTGAATAGCAGTGCCTCGCATGACTATGTATTACAAAAGATGATAAGTAAATATTACGTAGACAGCACAAGTGATCTTGAAAGTTCTATTTAAACACTAAAAATCACGAGAATACCGTATATCTTTTTTTTTTGCGATTTGATGACACAATGGCAGGTTATATTTTCACTGTGTATAATTGTCGCTGAATGTGAAAGAGGGACAAAAGATATCAGAGGGACAGTCAAACTCATAGATCGAAAACAAACTGACAACGTCATGGCCAAAAATAAAAGGACAAACAGACAATAGTACAGATGACACAACATAGAAAACTAAAGAATAAGCAACACGAACCCCACCAAAAACTGGGGGTGATCTCAGGTGCTCTGGAAGGGTAAGCAGATCCTGCTCCACATGTGGCACCAGTCGTGTTGAAAATACGGTAAAATATGAATAAAATTGATTGTTACAGAAGTAAACAGTATGAACTTGATTGACTGACAGGTAATCGGTTGTAAATAAATATGAGTACAACAAACAAAAATACACATAATTCAGAGAACTTTCAATGACTTTAGGGCATGTTAAAAATTGAAGATTTTGATCATCACCGATATAAAAATATCTGTGTAAAAAGATTTATTTTTACATTATAGGCAAAATGTTCGGGTTATGGCGCCAATTAATAGATCGTATCTAATTAACATTTTTAAACATGTCACTGAATGCTGTGTTGTAAAAAGGGTGTTTTGTTGTTTTAACAATTATAGTTTATTTAAGAAATAATTCATGAAAGCCATAGATTTGTTGGAAATTTACACATGGCCTGGGCCGTGATAATCGAATTTTATCCTGAGCGTTAGCGAGGGATAAAATTAACGAATATCATGGCCCAGGCCATGTGTAAATTTACAACAAATCTATGGCTTTCATGAATTATTTCGATTCTAATAGGACAAATACGGTCATTAAAAAACTGAAGCAAGGGTGGGTATGCCGTGTGTGTGGCTGTTCTTTTTTACTCCCTGTTAGATAAAGCTAAAACATTCTAATAAATCTGTAGCTTGCATGAATTATTTCGTAAACAACCGCTAGAAAAAATGTGCTTAATTCTTTTAATTCTTAAACCCAACATTTGCCATTTTTAATTTACATGTTTTTCTCGTAAGCTACCGTCAAATCCAAAGTTGACATTTCGTAACTAAGGAACCGCCATGTTGACTTGCTGAAATCAGTAAATATGCGAATAATGCAATAAAATAGAAAATAAAACAACATCTACCTCAAAAATCCATTTTAATGTAATATTATACGAATTTCGATGGTTCAGATAACAGAAAAACCTTCAGCTTTAGCGTTTTCATTTGTATGATGTCATGTTTTGAAGTGACTTAAATGCGCCAAAAACATTAATGGACTTTCGCGGAATTTTATTTTATTTTGATATTGTAGATTTCTCCGAGCTCTTGTGCATTAATTCTTTTTGTTATGCATCCGAATAAGAAAAAAAAGCTCTGTAGTCGTTTTTCAATTGCAATTTTTAAAACAATAAAATCGGCATAGCATTTGCAAATAGGTTCCAATACATGTGGATTTACGAGGGAGGTATATTGTAACATCCATTATTATGTATATCTCTGAGTCTGCACTAAGTATAGATATATCGGAAATTTTATCACGGTGTTGTTTACAAAGCGAAAGAAGCACGTCATATTAGAATTCTGAATTACAGTCATATTTTTTACTTTTATTTCAACTGTAAATTTTATAAAAGATACTTAACTCTACTATAAAATCAAAGAAAATATGCAAAAATATTTCATAAATTTACCAGGAAAATGTATTGAATTTGACGAATATTTAAAAAAATATATTCAAAAATGTTTATAATTTTGACAAAGTATCGACAAAATTTTTAAATTGTTGGTACATTCTGGGAAAAAATGTAAAAGATAAAATAAAGAAATATTTCAAATTTTTAAATTTTTTTTTTAATATTAATAAATACTTTGTTCCGAAATTTAATAAAAACATTTAATTCTAAAAATAAAAATGCCACTGTTCAGTAGCCAAATTGCAGCTTTCCAAATGACATAATTTGAACAGTAATCTGCATCCAAGCAAGCACTTTCTTCTTTCAATTTATAATAAGTTCTATGTTCCCACTTGTGTATATTCTACTGTCAGGAAAAGACGAGATCATGTACTCACGCTTCTCCCATCACACATGTTACATCGCTCAACTTCATCAGTTACAACTTCAACCAGAAACAGTATTTATCGATTACATGTCTGAAACCAACAACGCAACAGGGAAAGTGTTCCCATGGGTAACCGTGAAAGACTGCTTCTTCCACTTTACCCAGTGTATTTGGCGAAAGGCACAGAAATATGGACTACAGTCATACGATAAAGAAAATGAAGACATCACTCGACTAATACGATGAACCACAGTATAATCTCTTGTTCCACCCTACCTTGTTGAGGATGCTTGGCTTACAACTTAAGAAGACATTGGTAAAGCTGACAACATAGCAACTGCAACATAATTTTAATGATTATATGACAGAGTCTTAGGTTGAAGGTTACTGCTTTTTCTGGAACCACTACTTAACTGAAGGACCCGCATCACCAACCCCCTCGAAGGTTGGCAAAACAAAAATTCAAAAGAGACTCCACCATGACCACCCCAACATCTAGGAGATCATCGAGCTACTTAAGAAGACTCAGCCATTAACAGGATGTACCATTATCCAGTATGCAGCAGAAGCCTACCAACCAAAAAAAAAAAAACTGCTCACTAATGATACCCCCGCCCACTTAAAGTATAAGGTAAACAGGAAGTTGTTGAATGATGAATCTGAAAACGCATCACACGGTATAGCTGACTCATATAAACCTTGAAACCAAATTTCAGAAATCCTTCTAATGTAGTTCCTGAGAAAGATGCGACGAAAAATAATCATGGGACGGACGGACGGACGGATGGACAGACAGACAGAGGTAAAACAGTATACCCCCACTTTTTTAAAGCAGGGGTATAAAAAGAATGACGATAAAAATTTATAGACATCAGCCTTCAACTACTGAAAGACAGATACTAACACACACGGAATCATCCACATGATAGACTACGCAGCATCCCATCTTCTTCATTTGATCTGAATGACTTTGTGAAATATTGTAATTTCTGACTTAATGACTTTGTAAATTAATGTTTTGTTACTTTGTTAATATATAAATGTTTTGTTACTTTTGAAAAAGTTGTATTTTTCATTATTATACATATCATGCATATAGTGACCCATATTACTTATTTTTCCATTGTGCTTTTATTTTTGTTTTCTTATGCAATGCATATATAAATTTGATTCATAAGATAAAATAATATATTTGCAGTTAAAGAAAATTTTATCATACATTGGTGTATTTATATCTTAATCATTTAGATACTGACAATTTAATAAGACACTTTTGTAAATGAATGCAATCGTTTTATCGTTATTCATGTTAGTTGTATGTTAAATGAATTGATTGCATTGATATTGAATTATTGTGAACAAATTTGATATTAATATTATATATAAATAGAACTACGAAATAAAACATATCTGAATATATATAAAAAAAACAAAACACAGATAAACATTATACATATTTAGAATATAGCAAAGTACTCTCGACCAATGAAATTGTAGAATTGGATGCCTCTTAATTGTGAAGAATGAATGTAAATCATGTTCTTAGTAAGGGATTATCCTATTATTTGGGTCTATTTACAGTTCAAAACAAAGAGTTTCTATAAATGAGTTACAACTGCCCCGAAGCACATTTATCAGATTGAAAGGTTTTATCACACAGTGATTGAAACTGACTAAAAGTTGAATTGTGAAACAAACAAAAATCTCAAAATAAGTTGAAGTTTACTGGTGCAGTAAAATTGGTACCGAGAATTTTATTATGAAAATATTAATAACTTCAAATTACTATAAAATTAAACATTACCAAAGCAATGCAAAAAAAAAAAAGAAAAAAAATCTGTCAGATAAAAAATAACCTAAATCTTTAGCTTTCCAAAACTTTGATTACTTGATCAGCGGTTGGGGAGAATAGTTATTTCCAATACAATTATTCCGATAAAAAACAGGAATTAAATTTTAAACCTATTAAAAACTTTTAAGGGCATTATTTTTGAGCATTTCCCTGACATAATGAAACAGTATTTGATGTAAAAAGCCGGACCAAATTATTGGTTGTGAAATAAAATTTAGTTGTAACTCTAATGTATTAATTGATTTAAACTGTAAATAAAACAGGATAATTCCTCACTAAAATATAACATGATTTACATTCATACTCACAATCAGGAAACATACAATTCATACCTTTTCTTTCTACTTTTGTGTCATCTAATATCTATAACGCATTTTTTTAAAATATTTCCCAAATGATAAGAAAGTCCTCACATCACTTAAACTTATCCATAAATGACATGCCGAAAAAGGAAGTCATGCATCAATTATAAATATTGCACTGACAATGAAACTTATTCTTGAATAGATCATTTGAGCCTTGAGCACTTTACAATATTCTAAGTTTGTAAGAGAATGATAATCCCTTACTTCATGATAAGTACTCGCTAACGCTCGTACTTATTCATGAAGAAAGGGATTATCATTCTCTTACATATACAAAGTAAGAGCAGACTATACAATTGTATGCCCATTAAACCTTTTGTCTTTTTTTGTTTTCTTTACTAATAGATAATTGGTATAATTAAATGTGGGCAAACCAGGAGTAAACCGTTACAAGTATGATTAGCCTATTTAATTATCATGAAAACAGAGATAATAATTAAGTATGCACATTTTTGTGATATGTAGAACAACACAAAAGACTTGAAAATTAACAGTATAATGTATGAAACTTTTAAACAACGATAACACTTGAAATATGCAGGGAAATTTACGCAGTGCCAAATTTTTGCGTTTCTATAGCTGCCGCTAACAAAGCGTAAATTATACACACGCGAAAAAACCCCGATATATGGTATATACTTATAGTGCTGTGATACATTACATTGCATCAAAACAGCACATTGACGAAAAGTAACACTAAATACTGGCAAGTAGGCATTAGATTAGCTCAAGCTTAACTGTGCTTTTAGCAAGTATCAATCAATCATTCAATTAATTAACTGGTAACATATTGGAGATGTTTTTCCCCAGAATATAAAAGTTCCATTAGTTTTTTCTGCTTTGATCAATTAATTTATTTTATATACACTTAAGTCAGGAATAGGTCAGTTGTGTTTTACATTCGTTTATTGTGTTTGAGCTTTTTCGGAGTTCGGTATTATTGTTCTTTTACTTTTTTCAAAAGATAGAGGGTATACAAAAACACTACTAACCTTTTCAAAAACCCAATTTAGAGGACATTTTGTTTCATGCATTTTCCCATTCTCGCATCTCCATTGTGCTTTCTTTTTTGCATCTGACAAAGGTATTAAACACGTTTTACCTTTGCATATTTCTCCAACTTCAATTTCAAAAAGATCTGACATAAAATGGTGACTTTGTTTACCAAAACAACGACGGTAAAACTGAAGAATTCGTCCAAGTGCCAAAGTCAGGCATTCCTGTGTTGTTGTTGCTAGATCTGGTGATATGAGCTGCTTTGACACGTCATTGATGAGGTATGCAAATATTCTCTGCCCTTCAACATGAATTTGAAGTTCATTTCTGTTGTCAGCATCCATAATTGCAGCTTGAAAATAAAGACAAAAACAAGAGTTTTCTACTTTCAGAGGCCATATGCTAATTGCAGCCCCTATAAGCTTGAACGACAAAGCAGATGGAACCACTGTCTCCTTCAGATGATAAGCTATGCATAGTGTTCTGTCATCTTTTGCATTTCTGTGCATTTTTTGTGGAATCTTTGCCTTCACTATGCAGGGTACTAGAAATAAGTCTGCAGCTGCATCCGTTTCAGTGTAGCGTTTAGGTTCTACAAGGATATCCAGATGAAGGAGGACCTGCACTATATATTCCTTTGTTTTGACATCAGTCAAAATTTCTTTGAAAGCTGGTTGTGACCATAGAGTAAAAAGGTCTGTCTTCTTTAGAACTCCAGTAGATGACAAATTCTCCAGTATGTCTCGAACGGGTCCTTTTTCTGGCCAAAACATTATGTCTGTAATGAAGGCTCTCAGGATATTGACCATTGCTGTAGGCTGAATTACAATGAAATCTCTTAAAGCAGGTTCATCAAAGTATAATAACTTTCCTATTGAGTGTTGAACAAGTAAGAAATCGTCTACTCTTCTTTCATTCAGAGAAAATTCAATATTAGATTTGTTTATGTCTAAAAGTCTTTCTTTTGTTATCAGCTTTACTCCATCTGCTCTCATATCTGATATCTGTAAATCAAGAGGCACCCAAACAATTGGCATCTGTTGTCCCCATGTTGACTGCTGAAAGGCAATATCGACTAATGTATCCTTCAAGCGCTCAATATCTTGATCTGCTGCATCTGTTGCATTCATGAAAAAGACTTTGTCGTATAGGATATGCTCTTGAAGTTTGTGTGAGGAAAACAATTTCCGCAGTTCTTCATTGAATTTAAGGGCTAGTATCCTTTTCTCATCCTGTCAATTTATCAAAAAGCAATGACATGAATATATGATTTACTTTTCACGAAAAACCAAAACTTTTTTTTGACAGTTTTATAACAGCACAACAAAACAACAAACAATCTTTGGTGAATAATTGTCTCATTGGCAATCATACCACTTCTCCATATTTTTATATAAAAATCATTTGGAGAGGGCTTTTCTCATCATTGCTAACATATTTCATAGAACCATTTTCATTCAACTTGAATATTTTCAAGCACTGTAAACAAATTTAAAATACCTAACTATTTTTTTGCAGACGACTCAGAATTTTCAGTTTTAGCTTTAAAAATGTATCTCAGGCATACATGATTTATATAAGTACAAGAATAATGGGGTATATGTCCATGACACGGCAAACAAACAACACAAACAGTTTGTCTATACTTTTTATGCAGGCCATTGTGTTCTGTGTCAATTGTTTACACGAACAATAGAGACAGCTGTAGAATTTGTTGATGTGAGCACTTAAGAATACTGATTAAACTTTTATACTTTATAGAATAACTAATCAAAAATTCAAATGCTAAAACTAGTCAGTGACCAAACAACACATTAATCATGTTAATTGACATTAATGTATTCAGAAAAGTTTTCAATATTTTAATTCTTAGATTAGTTATCCTTGTCATTACATTGACTGTTTATTGAGGTGATTAAATACAATTTATGGGCTTTGCTCATTGTTGAAGGCTATACGGTGACCTAGAGTTGTTAATTTCTGTATCATTTGATCTCTTGTGAAGAAGTGTTTCCTTGGCAATCAACCAACATCTTCTTTTTTATAAAATAGGGAAATTTTGTATAAGATTGTCCTACAGATGTTGTTGGATACATTTATATATAGCATGTCCATTTTTGTCTTGCAACATACCACATCCCTCCTCCTAAGCTTTGTGCAGGTTACCAAATAACTAGAAACTTCGAGGGACTAAACTTAATGGTCTCCAAAGGCGACCAGATTTTCGACTGGGCGAATATATTTTGACTGTAAAATATTTTGTTGAGAATCCCATTTCTACTGTTTCCCTAGCGATATAACCACAAGAGTGCACACGCTGAAATGTCTCGCCTTCTTTACTAATCATTGATATTATGTTGATAGTCCTAAATATAAAGCTTTATTACAACTGTCACATAAACTTAACATTAACCAAGTAAACTAAACATTGACCAATGAACCATGAAAATGAGGTCAAGGTCAGATGAACCATGCTAGGCAGGCATGTACAGCTACCAATTCTTCCATACAACAAATATAATTGACCTATTGCTTATAGTTTAAGAAAAACAGACCAAAACACAAAAACTTAAAACTGAGCAATGAACCTTGAAAATGAGGTCAAGGTCAAAAAAAAACTGTGTGACTGCCAAATAGATCATAAAATATTTCCATACACCAAATATAGTTGAACTATTGCATATAGTATTAGAAAAAGGACCAAAACTCAAAAAACTTAACTTTGACCACTGAACCATGAAAATGAGGTCAAGGTCAGATGACACCTGCCCGCTAGACATGTACACCTTACAATCATTCCATACACCAAATATAGTAGACCTATGGCATACAGTATAAGAAAAACAAACCAAAACACAAAAACTTAACTATAACCACTGAACCATGAAAATGAGGTCAAGGTCAGATGACACCTGCCAGTTGGACATGTACACCTTACAGTCCTTCCATACACCGAATATACTAGACCTATTGCTTATAGTATCTGAGATATGGACTTGACCACCAAAACTTAACCTTGTTCACTGATCCATGAAATGAGGTCGAGGTCAAGTGAAAACTGTCTGACGGGCATGAGGACCTTGCAAGGTACGCACATACCAAATATAGTTGAACTATTGCATATAGTACTAGAAAAAAAGACCAAAACTCAAAAACTTAACTTTGACCACTGAACCATGAAAATGAGGTCAAGGTCAGATGACACCTGCCCGCTAGACATGTACACCTTACAATTATTCCATACACCAAATATAGTAGACCTATGGCATACAGTATAAGAAAAACAGACCAAAACACAAAAACTTAACTATAACCACTGAACCATGAAAATGAGGTCAAGGTCGGATGACACCTGCCAGTTGGACATGTACACCTTACAGTCCTTCCATACACCGAATATACTAGACCTATTGCTTATAGTATCTGAGATATGGACTTGACCACCAAAACTTAACCTTGTTCACTGATCCATGAAATGAGGTCGAGGTCAAGTGAAAACTGTCTGACGGGCATGAGGACCTTGCAAGGTACGCACATACCAAATATAGTTATCCTATTACTTATAATAAGAGAGAATCTAACATTACAAAAAATCTTAACTTTTTTTTCAAGTAGTCACTGAACCATGAAAATGAGGTCAAGGACATTGGACATGTGACTGACGGAAACTTCGTAACATGAGGCATCCATATACAAAGTATGAAGCATCCAGACCTTCCACCTTCTAAAATATAAAGCTTTTAAGAAGTTAGCTAACGCCGCCGCCGCCGTAGCCGCCGCCGGATCACTATCCCTATGTCGAGCTTTCTGCGACAAAAGTTGCAGGCTCGACAAAAAACTGTTCCCAAACAGAAACCTAATTGTCTTATCAAAGTGGGAAAATTACAGAGAGAATTTCCTGAAACCAGTAAGTTCATTTCCATAACCAAAACCTGATCGAACAACTAAGTTTTCAATGCAAGGTCATGATTTGACATATACCCCTTTTCCAAACACGTGTTATTATCTCTCTTTTAAAGCTTCTATGATTATTTCATTATTGTTTTGTGTTTTTGTCTAAACTGTTGAATCAACATTGCTTCAGAGATGCATTTCAGTTTTCCAGGGATTCATTACAATCCCATATTTGACAATAGCTTGTCCACTGATCTCTATTTACAAAATCTTCAATGAAATACCACATGCAAAATCTTGTAAATAAACTTCAAAATACACTGAAATATCTAGTTTGCTATATATCCCATCTTCAATAACAAGTAATTGAAAAATATTTTTGATCAAACCTTATAGTGGATGCATAAGGTAGATTTCTCTCTGACACAGCTCATATATTTCTGATGGCAATAATTCTAATATTATAAAGTTATCATAGGTAATCTTTTCTAGACCCAAGAGCTACGTATAGTATTACATAAAAAGGCTTTATTATATATATAATTAGTATATGAAAAGTACATTTAAAGTCTTATTTTATTAGTATAAAAATTGGTTGGGGCCCTAAATTTCAACTTTGCCACTGACAAAAAAGAATAAAGTTTAGTCCCTGATTATTTTAATTTCTATATATTTTCAAAAAGGGGGAGAAAAAGTTTTGTTACTGAAAGTTGTATAAGGACTGTTTTTAATTTTACACATTTGTTATGTATATAGTCATTGACTAGATACTTGTGATAATATTCGCACGTATTTGTGTTGAAAAATCGGTGGAAAATGGATATCAAAGTCAGACATACCTCTGAGAAGCTATCACTATGGGTGGCAGCAAACAAAATTCTCGGCATTTTATCTTCCGTTTTGTTACAGTAGGTCAATACAGAGTTAATCCAATGCTTCAGAACAGCTACAAAAGTATAATAGAGTAGGCATTTTATCTTCAGTTTTGTTAAAGTAGATTAATACCGAAACAATCCAATGCTCAGAATAGCTACAAAAGTAAGATACAGAAGGCATTTTATAATAATTTTTTGTATTCCAAGATACGTTTGCATATACTTTATTTTCTTTCTTTCTGGCAGACTTCGCAGTTATTTATTTTTCTAATTTTCATGATATATTTATATAGGGAAAGGTCAAAGCTTTACATATTAGCAATATTAGCAATGATTTACATTCATGTTATTTTTCTTCTCATGAAAAATAATCAAATTAGTTGGTTAACAGTAGTATTGAAATACAATATTCCTTTTGATAATAAGGATAAACAAAATGAGAGATTAATTGTTCAGTTGTTGTTTGCTTAACATCCACATGTTGAGTAAGTAAATCACTGTCCTAGGTAAAAGGGAGTGATTGGAATTGCAAGCAAGTGTATCCCTTCCCCATTCTGTATGTGCCTCTCCAAAGTCAGGAGGCGGTAACTCAGTGGACGTCGCAATCCGTCAAGTTCCCACCTCGTTTATCAATGTAGCATATATTAGGCAGTTGATTTTAATGGGTATTTTTGACATCAGTAAAAACAAGATACAGAGCTAGTATTAAATCATCGTCAGCATGGTGTAATGTATGAAGGGGTTAACTATTAAATCATTGTCAATATGGTGTAATGTATGAACGGGTTAACTATTGAATCATTGTCAGCATGGTGTAATGTATGAACGGGTTAACTATTGAATCATTGTCAGCATGGTGTAATGTATGAACGGGTTAACTATTGAATCATCGTCAGCATGGTGTAATGTATCAACGGGTTAACTATTGAATCATCGTCAGCATGGTGTAATGTATGAAGGGGTTAACTATTGAATCATCGTCAGCATGGTGTAATGTATGAAGGGGTTAACTATTGAATCATTGTCAGTATGGTGTAATGTATGAACAGGTTAACTATTGAATCATCGTCAGCATGGTGTAATGTATGAAGGGGTTAACTATTAAATCATTGTCAGTATGGTGTAATGTATGAAGGGTTTAACTACTGAATCATCGTCAGCATGGTTGTAATGTATGAACGGGTTAACTATTGAATCATTGTCAGTACGGTGTAATGTTGAACGGGTTAACTATTGAATCAATGTCAGCATGGTGTAATGTATGAAGGGGTTAACTATTGAATCATTGTCAGTATGGTGTAATGTATGAACGGGTTAACTATTAAATCATCGTCAGCATGTGTAATGTATGAAGGGGTTAACTTTTGAATCATTGTCAGTATGGTGTAATGTATGAACGGGTTAACTATTGAATCATCGTCAGCATGGTGAAATGTATGAAGGGGTTAACTATTAAATCATTGTCAGTATGGTGTAATGTATGAAGGGGTTAACTATTAAATCATTGTCAGTATGGTGTAATGTATGAAGGGGTTAACTATTGAATCATCGTCAGTATGGTGTAATGTATGAAGGGGTTAACTATTGAATCATCATCAGCATGGTGTAATGTATGAAGGGGTTAACTATTGAATCATCGTCAGCATGGTGTAATGTATGAACGGGTTAACTATTGAATCATCGTCAGCATGGTGTAATGTATGAACGGGTTAACTATTGAATCATTGTCAGCATGGTGTAATGTATGAAGGGGTTAACTATTGAATCATTGTCAGTATGGTGTAATGTATGAAAGGGTTAACTATTGAATCATCGTCAGCATGGTGTAATGTATGAAGGGTTAACTATTGAATCATTGTCAGTATGGTGTAATGTATGAACGTGTTAACTATTGAATCATCGTCAGCATGGTGTAATGTATGAACGGGTTAACTATTGAATCATTGTCAGTATGGTGTAATGTATGAAGGGGTTAACTATTGAATCATCATCAGCATGGTGTAATGTATGAACGGGTTAACTATTGAATCATTGTCAGCATGGTGTAATGTATGAACAGGTTAACAGCAACACATCAATTTCTATGATGTTTAATAGAGATGTGGGCAAAGTGTCCTTTGAAATTATCTACCAAAACATTCAATTTCAATAGACAATACATACATGATATATGCATTGATATTTATTATTATTAAATGATATGAGTAAATCAGCATGTGCGATACTGATGAAGTTGCCCTGTCAATATAAATCCATCGTGACTGCGACAAGACAAGTTCAGATATGAATTAAAATCATTTCATAAAAGTGTTATGAACTGACTGTTTCTGTATTGGGCCTAATATAGATTCTCGATCAGCTGTATTGGCCCTAGACGTTTCGAGTCTGGTGTCCAATACAGTTAACCTCGAATCTATAACAGGGTCAATACAGAAACAAGCAGTTAATTACTCTATATTATAATCAATTAGAACATTTCAAATTCGATTGTATATTCGAAGTGACTTACATGCTGCTGTAACATCTCTTTGTGAATATTCTTCCAATTCTGTATAAAGGCCTTTACGTCCATCAAACATCAGAATGAACGTTCCCCTGTGCTGGATAAATAACTGATGAGTCATATCAAATGATTTTTGTCCACCAAAATCTACCAGATCGGATGGTGCTATGTTCATGATATTAGTACCTTTCTTAATCTTCTCCAATAAGTCATCTTGTATAGAATGGGCAGTATGAATTGGTGGTACCTTGAAGCCTTTTGATGTCTTCTGATTAGATTTTGGTGACATGTGTTCCTGGTTTGAAGGATATAGATTTGTATTTGATGGAATTAACTGGTTTTCCTTTGTTGTAAAATTAGATTTTGGATCACCTGGAATTTTTTCTTTACTTTCACCTTGCAGACTTGGTTGTTTCTTTAATTCTGGATTCCCAAGAAGTAGTTTCGTTAAAACATCACCACTACCTGACAAGGTTTAAAAAAATAAAAAGGAGGAGGTATGAAAAGAGCAATAATTTGACCCTAGAAATTGTAAAACTAATACTTGTCAACTAATTCAAGCCTTACAAAATAATACTAGACATCATTGAGATGAGAGCTATCTCTGTGGGCCCCGCTGTGAATAATGTGTGGTAAAAAATTTCTATCTTTACAATATGACATGTGGTTGTCAACTGAAACCAAAGTTTTTGACCTTGACCTTTGACATAGGAAGTTGTACATACATGATGACACACTCTCTGGTGTTGCTTAATATACATGTCAAGTATAATCTTTGAAATCATAACAGTTCTCAAGATATAGAGTGGACACAATCTTTACCATAGGACATGGGATTGTCAACTGAAACCAATTTTTTTTAACTTGAACTTCGACCTAGGAAGTTGTACAAACATTATAACACACCTTCTGGTGTTGGTTAATAAACATGTCAAGTATAAAGCAAGAAATTATAACGATTCTCTAGATATATAGCGGACACAATTTGTTACAGACGGACGGAGGGACAGACAGACCGATCACTATAGGGCGACCGCCATTCGGCGGGACCCTAATAATTTTTTTTAATGATACATAGAATGATTTTTTTATTAGAATAACTCAGTTCCAATGTCACCTGTGTTGCACTTATTTTATCTATCCAAGGGCTATAAGTAAAAATCTTTATTTTGTTTAATTGTTTTTAAAGCTTTTTACAAACATCTTAGAAATGAAGGCTTGATAGCAAATACAATGCAATTTCCAATTTAATCAATATTTCCAAGGGGCATAACTCTTTTAAAAAGATTTGATCTGCACTGATTTTCGTATTTGTCCAAAACATAATGAAAATCTGGCAAGAATTGTACATATGAGAGCGCTTACAATTCAATTTTCCAGATAATCAATCTTTCCAACAGACATAATAACACTTTTACAAATAATTGATCAGCACTGTTTTTTGAAGTTGTCCGAGACATTGCTGATATAAGCCTATGATATAAGATTCATAAAAATCTTGCAAGAATTGTACACAAGAGAGCGCTAATAAAGAAATTTTACATATAATTAATATTTCCAAGGTGCATAACTCTTTTAAAAATAGTTCATAGGCATTGATTTTCCAATTGTCTTAGACATTGCTGATATAAACCTATGATATTAAATGTAGATATTGTCTTGCTGATCATATTTGCTTATTTAAGTTTCTATATCTATCTAATATTATAATTTTAAAGATATAAGCCAAAAACGCAATAAATTGGTAAAAATCGTCATCAAAGGACAATAACTCTAATATGGAGTTGACTGATGATTTTGACTATTAGACTTATTTGTAGAACTTGTCCTGCTGATCATTTTTGCAACTTATAAGTTTCTCTATCTACTATAATTTTCAAGAAAATAGGCAAAAATGGAAAAAAAATGGTAAAATTTGTCATTTAAGGGCAATAACTCCTTCAAGAAGTCATTTGACAGTTTTGACATATCCCAAGAAATAGTAGAGCTCAACATTCTGAGCATTTTTGCCCTTGTCAGATTTTCTCTATTTATAATCGTTTTCAAAATATTAAGACAAAACTTGCAATTTACGCCTATGTTCTTTTTTTAGCCATGTCGGCCATCTTGGTTGGGAGGCAGGGTCATCGGACAATTTTTTTTAACTAGATACCCAAATGATGATTGTGGCCAAGTTTGGTTAAATTTGGCCCAGTAGTTTTAGAGGAAAAGATTTTTGTAAAAGTTAACAACGACGACGGGCCAGGTGAGCTAAAATGGGATGAAAATAAAGGTACCAACAATGACAAAAGTTCCCAACCTCACCCTAAATCAAAGAATCCTCCTTATATATAGTTACCATAGATATAATTTGTTCATTGCAGTTGTGCTGTTGTCAGCTTTTCTGTTTTTTAAAGCAATTAGGAGATGTTATCTGTACAACCTTCAATAATGAGCAAAACCCATACTTTAAATTAAGCTATACAATGTTGTAGATGTGATATGATGGCCAATGAGACTTCCATCCTTCAGAAAACAAAGATGTGGATTAAACAAATAAAGGCCATCATAACAACAATGAGCAAAACCATGTAGTATTAATGGCATAGAAAGCAATAAGGGTCACAAGCAAGACAAAAATTAATACAGTTCCAATGAGGACCAACAGCCTGATATTTTCTAAAACAATAAACAAAAAACAAAAATGGTAGACAGCAATCAAATACAAACACTTAAAAAAATGTTCCAGGTGTTTCAATCTGATCAATCTTGTGACATAATTTTATGATTTTTTTCTGAAGTTTCAGTTTTTTTATTTTTATGCATGTTCATAATGTTAGGTGTTATTTTGTTTATTTTGATATAAATTAGAAAATTGTCGGGACATCGATGTTCTACAGTAATCACTATCATGACAATGTCAAAATAATGCATACGAAAATAAACGAAACATTTTATAAAATTTGTAATTTTATGGTTTTAGCATAAAAATGTTATTATAAGAATTGAATGCTTCTTTTTGTAACTTCCACGCTTTACAGAAAATATGCTTAGGTCAACACTTTTACACCCAATGAAATTACAAAAAGAAGCATTCAAATCTTAAATCAAGGGGAAATATTCAGTTGGGTATTCGCTTCCCTTGGTAAGGCATTTATCCTCACAGCGCAAAACTTATGAGAAAAACAAACACTGCCTCGGTGGTCTTGTGTTTGCCTCTAGTGTGGCAGGTTGTGGGTTCAAACCCCAGCCGGGTTAAACCAAAATTAGTATTTGCTTGTTTCTCTGCTAATCATACAAGGTAAAGAGCAAAGACTAGTAGGCTCATAGTGAGAATAAGGGATCCGGGGACGTGTCTTCCTGCGCTTGTTACCTTGTGAATTAGCAAGTTAAAAATCTGGGTCAGCAAGTCGGTCTAGTACAAAGCAGGATTAATTTTCATATCGCATTAGCATGTTCTGGTTCTAAATATGCATCTTATTTGCTGCGCTTGAAGTAAACCAGCCACCCATCATCATCACCATGAGACAAACAAACCATGCAGTAACACGATGTGATATTCAATATTCGTTTTTTTGATTTTTAAAATTGAAATAATAGGAGACGTGTATATATCTGCTCAAATGATTAAAAAATCTTTGATAAATTATTACACATGTTTAACATCATTATAGTACTGTAATTTCCTTTTCGTCAGTGACTAAGGACAGAGTTTTTAACTTGTTTGTTTATCTGAAATGATGGGATCACGGTCCCTCAAAGAAAAAACAAAAACAAAACTGCATTCAACATGTTTAATGCTTATTTAAACCACGACCTTTGGTAGTAAAACTGAATTCTTGTCAATTCAGATTGGAGTTGAGCCCACCTGCTATGTGCTGGAATTGAACTCACAACCTCAGTGTTGACAATCTATTGATACAGTCATTTAACTACTTAGACCACTATTCTTACCAGGATGTAAAGACCACTATTCTAACCAGGAAGTAGATGGTCATCTCCCTTATTTCAAAGAAAAGAACTAATAAAATGCTTCGCTGGGGCGCAGCTTGATACGACCGCAGAGGTCGAACCCTGAACAGTTGGGGCAAGTATGGACACAACATTCAAGCTTGATACAGCTCTGAATTTGGATTGTTATTAAATATTTGACACAGCATAGGTTTCTGACACAGAAAGAATGTGGTCTAAGAACTTGAATTTTTTTAATTTACCTATTATGGTCCAATGTCCAAAATCAAAATACATGGTTAGATTCAGCATATCAAAGAACCCCATATATTCAATTTTTGTTAAAATCAAACAAAAAAGACCAATTTAAAAAACGAGACTTAAAATTAAAAATCTAAATACACGGTTAGATTTGGAATATCAAAGAACCTCAATAATTCAATTTTTGATGAAATCAAACAAAGTTTAATTTTGGACCCTTTAGACCTCAATATGAACCAATTTGATAGCGGGGCCCACAAATAAAAAATCTAAATTCATGGTTAGATTCAGCATATCTAAGAACCCCATATATTCAATTTTTGTTGAAATCAAAAAAAAGTTTAATTTTGGACCCCAACTTGGACCAACTTGAAAACTGGGCCCATAATCAAAAATCTAAACACATGTTTAGATTCAGCATATCAAAGAACCCCAAGAATTCAATTTTTGTTAAAATCAAACTAAGTTTAATTTTGGACCCTTTGGACCTTAATGTAGACCAATTTAAAAAACAGGACCCAAAATAAAAAATCTAAATACACGGTTAGATTTGGAATATCAAAGAGCCCCAATAATTCAATTTTAGATGAAATCAAACAAAGTTTAATTTTGGACCCTTTTGACCTCAATATGAACCAATTTGATAACAGGGTCCACAAATAAAAAATCTAAATACATGGTTAGATTCAGCATATCAAAGAACCCCATATATTCAATTTTTGTTGAAATCAAACAAAGTTTAATTTTGGACCCCAATTTGGACCAACTTGAAAACTGGGCCAAAAATCAAAAATCTAAGTACATGTTTAGATTCAGCATATCAAAGAACCTCATATATTCAATTTTTGCTAAAATCAAACAAAGTTTAATTTTGGACCCTTTGGACCTTAATGTAGACCAATTTGAAAACTGGATCCAAAATTAAAAATCTAAATACACTGTTAGATTCGGCTCAACAAATAAATAAATGTGATCAAAGATTTTACAAATCTAATGCGCCATACTGTGCAATTAAAGATTACTTCTTGAAATTTTTCAATATTTGAAATTTGAAAAAAAAATAATATTTGAAGAATAATTCTTTTAATTTCTGAAATCTGAAATGAGAAAAAATTGACCCCCCACAATTTCTTTTTATCCCCCCCCCCCCCTTTTTCCCCCCAAAAAATTCTTTCCCTCAAGATATGGTCATAATCTCAATTCAAATTTCCAACGGAGTTGGCAATCATAATTACCCATCATTACTGTCAAATCTTTCATATGGATTTTTTGGTAAAAAAAAATGATGCAACATTTGCAGATATTTTTACTGGTCTTCCTTTATAAATATGCATTTCTTTAAACATAATTTAAAAGCAGTGTAAGGGAAGTAACCAAAACGTTGTATTTGGATTACCTCCCTTACACTGTTTTAAATTATCTTTATTGTTCATTAACCATTACTTTATACATAATTTAAAAGCAGTGTAAGGGAGATAATTTCAATGATGTATTTGATTTATCTCCCTTACACTGCTTTAAATTATGTTTTGTACTAAAGTATTTGTCCATTAACCAGGACAACCTTGTTTTCCCCCCTTTTTTGCCCCTAATTCCTAAACGGTTTGAGCCATAACCCCCCCAAAAGCAAATCCTAACCATCCCTTTGTTGCATGGAAACTTGTAGTATAATTTCAGAGAGATCCATACACCGTTCCACAGTTGTCTGGAAACTAGAAAATGCTTATTTTTGGCCCCTTTTTGGCCCCTAATTCCTTAACTGTTGGTACCATAACCCCCAAAATCAATCCAAACCTTCCTTTTGTGGTATTTAACCTTATGGTAAAATTTCAAAAAGATCCATTCACTTAAACTAAAGTTAGAGTGCGAAAACCAATGTGTCTTCAGACGACGACGCCGGACGACGACGACGACGCCAATGTCATACCAATATACGACCACAAATTTTTTTGGCGGTCGTATAAAAACTAGATTTATCATATTCTTATACCATGATATCTGTTATGAAGGTTATTTTTTTGTAATAAAAAAAGATTTTATATATCTGTATAAAAGTTCATTTGATCCTTAATATTCAATGACCTTCAATAATAAGACTTTCTGAAAATTGATTTTCAATTGTTTTTTATATTATTTGTCATTTTTTTCATCTTCATTTAATTGTTCATCTCTAAGTTTCCAAAGTGTTCTTATGTGCTTTTCTTATTGTCTTGCTTGATACCGGGGTAATTCAAATTTCCTTTCACAGTAAAGTAGACTCGTCCCTAATTTCAACTTTTAGGTTGACCCATTATAGAAGGATATCACCATTGTTACTACTGATTATACATATTTTGACTTTGTTAATAACTCTATTAATTGTTCTTTTAAATTCAATATCTATTAAAACAGAATTACTTAATTTTCTGTACCCATTCCATCTTTTAAAAGCCCCTGTCTGAAGGATTAATACTACCCCTTGATGGTCATGGTTTAATCCGTGACTGTTTATCTTTACAATTCTCAACAAGAGACTAAAATTCTGTACCAAATTATAACAAAACAAAGAGTACTTATTTGTGTCTTTCCTTTTCTCCACTATGTCAACTGTATTGTGCTTTTATATATATAGAAAATTTCAAATATCTATAAAATCATAATTTTTCATAAAAATTTTAAACAGACTCAGAACATTTTCTCATAATTTAACTTTGTTGAAAATTCCTAATTTAAATAAAAGAGGGACGAAAGATACCAGAGGGACAGTCAAACTCATAGATCGAAAACAAACTGACAACGCCATGGCCAAAAATAAAAAGACAAACAGACAAATAATAGTACAGATGACACAACAAAGAAAACCAAAGACTAAGCAACACCAACCCCACCAAAAACTGGGGGTGATCTCAGGTGCTCCGGAAGGGTAAGCATATCCTGCTCCACATGTGGCACCCATCGTGTTGCTTATGTTATTACAAATTCCGGTTAACAGTCTAATTCGGTAAGTCATATTCGTGAAAAGGGAGGGTATTGTAGTTACGACATAAGGAACATATCTGATATCATCTGTGAAACGGTTATTACATAACGGTCAACCAACTCGTGATGGTGTCCGTAAAATTTACGAAGGGATGATTTCAACTTCCACATTTGGAACTCTTGATTTAATAGCTTCCTTGTGAGCAGCAATCCTCTATCAAGGAAATCATAATAAATAACCTAGCATTAAGAATATATCCTGTATATTAAAACTTATATATTAATCAAAGCGGTCGAAATTACTGATCGAAAGATTGGAACAGCAGCTAGAAAAAGGTTATAATCTAGTGATACTAAATACTCCTGCCAATGCAGAAGAAAAAAACCCATCATCTGGAAACCCCCAGATTGTAAAGGTTTTCGCTTAACCCTTGATCTTGCCTGTGATTGCTGCTGTTATTGTAGTACTGCAAAGTTGACTCAAAAAATAATTTCCAATTATCAGTAAAAAAAACATAAAAATGAAGATTTAGATTGTATTTCTTGATTCTGCACAAACACCTATGAAAATATCTTCCAATTTGATGAAGGTTTGTAAAAAGTTATTGATGTTTAAACACATTTAAATCTAGAGTTTGTAAAAAGTTATTGACATTTAAACAATTCTAAATCTAGGCTGCTTTTTAATGTTTACTCCTAAACAAAAATTTGTTCATTTTAGTATTTATATCAGTAAACTACAGAACATAAGAAAAATCTTCTTTTCTCCAGATGCTTACTTTTCATCATGAAGAAGCTACTGATAAAGGTTTGAAAAAGGTTTTAAACAATTTTAATCAGTATAATACAGAAGATTGAAAGGTTTAATATTAAAACCATCAAAATGGATTTGAATTGTTTAAACATGTTAAAGACATTGAATTTATGCATGCTATATTCTTATTTCAAAAGGTTATTCCATAAAGATTGAGAACCAAAATAAAACCTTATAAGTTCGGTATCTAAGGTTTTTTTTATTCTTGAATGGTATGTGTTAAAATAAATAAAAAAGAACTTGCCATCTATTCTATGAACCCTGACATTCAAATGATAAAATAATAAATGTAATGTCCCTCCTTGTATAAAAAAAAAATGTTTCTGTCTTCTTTCTTTGTGTCACAGAGACGATTTATAAAGTGTCAATTGTATGGATGTGAACAAAAGTTGCAGTCAAATAAATTATCAATTTCATGTGAACTTTATCAAGTTTTACGGTGAAATCAATAATTCTAAAACAAGAATTGTGTTCATCAAAATGTTATTCTACTCCTCAATTATATAACTCAATTCAAACAGAACTCATGCTTTGTTGAAATTTTAGTGCTTCAAACGTTAAATTGTTGTTAGCTTTAAGGCAATGCACTGTATAGTCAATATTAAGCTATTGTACTAAGGCAATAACAATTCTTGTTAAAACAACAAGACAGTGAAAGAAGAAATAACAGTTTTCTATAAACTGAAGATAATTTATATGTCAATGAAGAATCTTGTTGAAAAGGCCACGACATAAAACATATAATACATACCCTTTTTCAATGGAATCATCTTTCTTTGTTGTAAGTCGATGCCATTTCTTCCGAAATGAATAATTAGTCCATCAGTTGAAAACCATGTCTTTGGAATTTCCTCGCCGATAAGAATACTTGCAAGCGACGATTTTCCAATGTTACAAGGCCCAGCCAAATACACCCTATTTTCATAGGAAGCAAATGTTCCCAGAGCTACAAGATCCTGGAAGTCATTTCTATTTAACTGCCCGAGTTTGGTCAAAATGGGATCTGATATTTCCTATAAAATTAAGAAACATAATTAACAGTGCAAGTCTATTAAATTATTATGTTGGTCATGAGTAACTATGTTAAGTCAATATGGAAACATTGTAGCTGCCCTATAATATTGTTTTACAAAGAAGTTAGAATCACAACATGCAAAGTGAACTTTAATTATTTTAGGTCCTCTTTGGTTATAAACCTCTTAACCTGTTTCGGTTCTCAAATATAACCTTGGCTTTCAACTATTCGGCTTCGAGCTTTCCTGATGAAGATAAATCCAGAAAAATGCTTGCAATGCATGAAATTTAAAATGAAAATGAAGTGTTGTCTTTATTTTTTTTTAATAAATATAGGGGAACCAATTATGTTCCCAATGTGAATAACCTATTCTCAGGTTTCCTTTAATCTATTTAAGAAGTGCAGTGGTTGTTAGTATTCTGTTTTATTTGTGTTATTTCCAATTCATATGATTAAGTAATTGGGATAAACCAAAAGGTGTCAACTCCATCAGGCAAAGTTAACAATATCAGGATTTTTTCGCTCCCAATTCAAACCTTTTTTAATCTTCAGACTTTCACACATTTTATACTTTTGGGTTTTCAACTTTTAGTAATGTGCTATGAAGTATATCCTTCAATATATAATGTGTGGTGTGAACAGAAAATACTATCAAATAATAGAAATTGACGTCATAAACTAAAGTACTATCAAAATGTTATGTACATTTACTTTATTCTTGATTCTGTTCCTTGTATCATGTTGTTTTATGAAGGCCTTAAAGAGTTTTGTTTTTTATTATTCTTAAAGCTGCAAAAGAATCCGACTTAAAAAATTGTATGAGTTCCTTTCAGCTTCCTTTTGCCCCCTATCTAATCTATCAAACATTGTAAGAGCTCATTTATGACAAGCTAGCTGCTTCTAATTTTTATACAATTTAAACTTTTGGGGTGTGAACCAATTAATTTATATTCTATTTCTATATAGGATCAAATCTAAAAAGAAAAGTCATTAAAAAAGGGGCTTAGCATCAGTATGTTGTTACTTTTTCACCGCAGTGTTGATAGCCACTGTTTGATGACTACAAGACCCAGAGATACCTCAAATATAATAAAAAACTCTAATGTACTTTCATGATTTTACTTTGGTAATGAGAAATTTTGACTATAAGATGTAAAATTTGTTAAGTTTATCCTTCTGGTGCACCTAAGATGGTTTTGTGTGTCTTCCCTTTTTATGGTATTTAGTTTTTTATCTCTCTACATTTAGTTAATCGCTTTATACCGATTTATTCTGAGTGTAAGCATTTGTAATTCAACACTATATGTACCTGTAAGTATTCCATCACTTCGTTATACTGTCCTGTCTTCTGTTTTGCTGCTAGATCGTATGGAGTCTCACCCTGAAATATAGATAAATCTTTATATTGCTTGCATCTGTTAATAAGAAGACTTTTGTAACACATATTTAACATTTAGTGAGACCAGTAGCAGCTGAGTGGTGTTTTATTTTATTTTGACAATATTCGGACCTGGTCATCAGTACTTTATAGGATATGGCTAAAATGTGCTCTGAAATGCAAATCAATGGAAAGCTGGCACTGTCAACAGATGCTCCCAATACTGCATGTTTTTTGACAGAAAATAAAAATAAACTGTGCCATTGCAAAATTGCTGTTGAATTGTGACATGGTTAAGATAACTACATACAAGAAAAAGTTATAAAGGGACATAACTCAAGAACTGTAAAAGGTGACGCTACCCAAATTTGTACTTGATCTGAGTTTTGTGGTAATAAGCATTGTGTATACGTTTCATAACATTAAGTTGAGGCAAACTAAAGTAAGAGAACGGAGACAAAAAATTCAGCAATTTTTCCATTTGTAAAGGGGCATAACCCTAGAACGGTAAAAATGACGCCAACAATATTCAAACTCGATTTGTGTTTTGTGGTATTAAGCATTGTGTATAAGTTTCATTTTATTTGGTAGAGGCAAACTAAAGTTAGAGAACGGAAACGAAAAATTCAGCAATTTTTTCATTTTTGAAGGGGCATAACTCTAGAACGGTGAAAGTGACGCCACCCAAATTCAAATTTGATCTATGTTTTGTAGTAATGAGCATTGTGTATAAGTTTCATAAGATTTGGTTACTACAAACTAAAGTTATAGAACGGAAACGAAAAATTCCACAATTTTTCCATTTGTAAAGGGGCATAACTCTAGAATGGTATAATAGACGCAACCAAAATTCAAACTTGATCTGTGTTTTGTGGTAATAAGCATTGTGTATAAGTTTCATAACATTTGGTTGAGGCGAACTAAAGTTAAGAGAACGGAATCCAATTTCGGGACGTACGGGTGGACGTACAAATGGACATACAGACGGACAAGGGTAAAACTTAATGCACCCTCCGCTATGGCGGGGGCATAAAAATATAAAGGAGATCAACTTTAAAAAGATGGGGCAAATTTACAACATAGTTTTGACTTGTTTCAAATGGAACAAACATTCCGAACAAAAATTTCCTCTGAATTTAGCCCAATATCTTCGTACCCCTGGGAGTTTATATTTAAAGGTGGTTATACATAAATTTGCAAAGGCGAAGCTGAATTTAAGTTATAAGATATTGGTATTTTTTAAAAACAATTAGAAATAGTATGGTCATTGTGAACCCAAAGTCAGCTGATTGTGTTGTCAGACTTTTACATCAACCTACTTATTATCTGTATAATTAACAATTCATAGACAAACAAATTTGAAGTCTGTTTATGCAATCAAAAGGGAGGTGATTCAAATGTGTGTGGGTAGTATTAGAGACAAGATTGATCTCTACTGTATTATGAATGCGGGGTTTCTCCACTTTTTATTACTGCTGCAAAAAATCTTTGCTGTTTTAAATTCTTTTCTAATATGACAAATTATAAATTTATCAAAATTTTCTTGACTCTAAAATGTATAAAAAAAAGATTGATAAAAAAATGTATAGAACTCTTTAAAAATGTTAGACTTCGAACTCTGGAGATAATGACAAAAGAGAATGATTTATAAATTGTTATACAAGACATCTAGCATGTCTAGAAAAGAAGAATTAATTTTGCCTTCATGATAAATGACCTTCCTTTTATGGTATGGAACCTTGTGGTATAATTTCATAGTGACCCATAGACTTATACTCAAAGTACATGTATTGTCCAAAAACAAGAAAATCTAAAAAAAAATTTGCCCCTTTTCGGCCCCTAATTCCTAAACGGTTTGTCCATGACCCTGAAAAATCAATCCCAACATTCCTTTTGCGGTATAGAACCCTTTGGAAAAAATTCATAGATCCATACACTTATACACAAGTTATTATCCAAGACAAATCTTCGTTTTTCGCTCCTAAATCCTAAACAGCTAGGAAAATTACCCCTAAAACAATCCCAACCTTTCTATTGTGGTATTGAACTTTGTGCTACATTTCATCGAGATCCACACACTTATACTCAAGTTATTGTCTGGAAACCAAACTGTCTTCGGACGACAAGTTTTTGGCCCCTTTATGGCCCTTAATTCCTAAACAGCTAGGACAATAACCCCCCAAATCAATACCATCCGTCCTATTGTGGTATGGAACCTTATGCTACAATTTCAAAGAGATCCATATACTTTAGTCTCAAGTTATTGTCATTTTTCAAAATGGGAGGATGAACTGCATACTAACATTGAAGACTGGCAAAAATATTTTTGTATACTTCAGAAAGGTTGTAGAGATAGATATTTGTTTGATTTCCAATATAAATTTCTAGATAGGATTAGTCTTACAAATACATTTTTATTTAAGATTAAAATCAAAGACACAAAGTTATGTTCTTTTTACATCAGATGACCGTGAGGGCATTCCGGTGTTTTGTTGCCACAGACATTTCTACCCACGTGACTGTCGTTTTTGACTGATAACCGAACGCAAAATAACATTCCTAATCGCTTGTTATATATCAATTTCATCAATAAATATTCATGAAAATAATTTTTAAGAACATAGATAAATGATATGAAAATGTTTTGTCGTGAGAAATATATATATATCAATAACAAATCAAGAATACCGAAAATTTGAGTTAACGCATGTGGAAGAATATCTCAAGAACGTTTTGCGGGAAAATATGAATGCCTACTCAAATCCAATCTATTAGAAAAATCGAATTATTACAGAAGAGTGTCAGTGGCGGATCCAGGGGAGGGGTTTCCGGGGGTTGGAACCCCCCCTTTTTTTGACGATCAATGCATTTGAATGGGGACATATAGTTGGAACCCCCCCTTTATCCTGTGTTGGGAACCCCCCCCCCCCCCCCCCCCCCCTTTTAAAAATGGCTGGATCCGCCCCTGCATGTCCACCATGCACTTGCACTGCACTATTATTAGAATAGTAGAATAGAATGATATACAAATGGATGAAAATTATATATACATGTAACTGTTATATACAAATATTATATTATAATATATAACAACAAACCAGAGTATACTGATTTGTATCACTACAATATAATAGTTATTACGGTGAGGTTGAATTCCCTGTCATTTATCCATCATCCACACACTAACTTGTCTCTGAAAAAAATATATCTATGTACCTTAACCTCACTTTCAGGTATAGAGATGTGATTTTTTTTTTCTGAGACAAGTGCTTGTCACCATCCACAAGAAATTGCGGTCATCCGATGTTCAGTACTTCAGTACTTGGATTGTAGATGTGAAGATGAAACTATTGGACATTTATTTTATGATTGTCAAGTGACATCAATTTTTTTAGATTTATTCTGTACTTGTCTGAAAAATTTCTATGTAAACATTGAATTCAACAAAAAGAACTTTTTTCTAGGTTTTGTAAAAGAAAGCTTATTTTCAAATTTTCTTGTAATTTTTGCCAAAAAATACATAAACAAATGCAAGCTGGAAGAAAAGCTTCCTAAAACACTTGAATCAAAAAATAGACTAAAATACTTTTATAACTTAGAATTATATACAACAAGAAAGTACAACAGAGTTTTTGCACTTGAAAAACTTTGGGCCCTATGCTAATTATTTATCCTTAATGGTAGTCTAACAACCATATTGTATTAATATATATCTTTTTGATTTATTTAGGAAAACAGAGCAAACAACATGCAATATATACACATCACATTTAAACCTTTTTTTTCGATTTAATTATCTATACATAGTTCTGTATAAAGAGTTTGTGAAAAAGGAGAGAGAGAGTGAGAGAGAGAGAGAAGGAGAGAATCAGAGAGACAAAAAGAGATTTTCAAATGATTTATATTTTAGTTTATATCTAGGTAAAACTATAGTCTTTTGTTGTTATATTCTTAAAACCCTGTAACACCTTAGTCAGGTGGAGCTGAAAGGGTGATGTAAAATCCTATTAAAAAAATAAATGAAAAAAAAAGTTATTGTCTGGAAACCAAATGTCTTTAGAGGACGACGCAGACATCGCCATAACATTATACGAACACAAAAATTTTGCAGTCGTATAACTAGAGGCTCTGAAGAGCCTGTGTCGCTCACCTTGGTCTATGTGCATATTAGACAAAGGGCACCCTCCAACATTGTAGACGAGAATAGAATTCATGACAAAAATCTCTGTTTTTTTATTACTTGTATTGTTGATCATTTACTAGTAGATCTTGCCTTGCTGATCATTTTTGTGATTTTAAGTGTCTATTTATCTATTATAATTTGTATCATATATCGGTCTGTCCATTAAGACATGACACAAAATGGGACATTATAGTTATATTCTAGAATGTGAGACAGGTTGAAACAAGAATGTGTCCATAGTACACAGATGCCCCACTCGCACTTTTATTTTCTATGTTCATTTGACTGTGAAATTGGGGTCAAAACTCTAATTTGGCATTAAAATTAGAAATATCATATCATAGGGAACATTTGTACTAAGTTTCAAGTTGATTGGACTTCAACTTCATCAAAAACTACCTTAACCAAAAACTTTAACCTGAAGCGTGACAGACGGACGAACGAACGAACGCACAGACTGAAAAACATAATGCCCCTAGGTGGGGCATAAAAAAACAAAAGACTGAGCAACACGAATCCAACAAAAAACCAGGGGTGATCTCAGGTACTTCGAAAGGGTAAGCAGATACTGCTCCACATGTGGTATCCGTTGTGTTGCTCATGTAAGTAGAAGCCCAGTGATAATTCTAATTCGGTAGGTGACATTCATGAAAAAAGGGTCAGGATTGTGGTAATGACAATTGGAACATAACCATCGTTATCTGTGAAACAGATATTCCATAATGGTCAACAACTCATGAGAGTCACTGACCTTACAATTTTCCAAGGGATGATTTCAACTTCACCTTTTGGAACTCTTGCTTTAATAGCTTCCTTGTAA